TGGGCCGGAGGGGCCTGGCGGGTGGCCGAGCCCGGTACCCTCGCTTCTGATCCCGCGATCCTGTGTCCTCTCACCTGCCATCTGCCTCCCAGCCGAGTCCTGGCATCTGTAGCAGGCTTTCCAAGCCGGAGGTTTTCATTGCACCTGCTAGAATCTCTGGTTGTCGCCCATTGTGCCCAGGTGGACCCAAAGCTGCAAGTGTTCTCTGTGGAGCTTTGCACCAATAACTACACTGGTTCGCTTGCTGGTGCCCTTGGCTTTCACTCACAGTGGATCTCAACTAAAGAGAGGTGCATCCCTATCATTCCAAGTTCTGGGTTCTTCAGGTTCAGGTCTCTCTCTGACTTTGGTCTCCAGCCTGTCAGTGTACCAGTTTCAATTTATTACTTCAAGTACCTTCCAGATCAGAATTGTTCTCATTTCTAGAGTATCAGCACGTAGTCTCCCTTACTTGAAATGTAATTCACTTTCTTATTAGTTTGCAGTATTCTTCCTTGATGCCTCCACACTAAGGGGGGATAGTCCCAAATTATGCTTTCTACCTGGTTTGCTTTGCTTCTGCTCCTCTTTAGGATAGAATTCTGCCAGGTCCATTCCCTGGCCTCCCTTACATTTTCCCACCTAATATGGGAGGGCTTGACTTTCCAGCACCATTGCTACTCACACTGGAAACACTACTGTGCCTCGACTGATGAGTCTTTTACTGGACACTATGTTGTATTTTGTATGGAACCCCTTATATTTTTGTAAAGTCAAACCTAAATTCTACCTTCTTTGGTTTCTCAGACTGTTAGTTGTTTCCTTTGATTCCTTATAGAGATATTGTATTCCACAATAATTATTTGACAGCCTTTTGAAATCCCAGCCAGAGCTAACATTCTTGTGGTCAATAACTGTGGCTTTTTTTCTTTTTTCCCCCAGTTTCAGGACAATACAGTATAACATTTTCTATGGGGGGGAGGTAAAAAGCTCCATTACACATTGATAGTGAACACCATTTGATGTTTAAGGAAATCAACAAATTAAACAGTAGTTAATTTCAAGTTGGGTACCTATGGTATCCCCTTGCCAGGCTAATCTTTGCTTAATATTATTGCTTATGTGGGCGTGATGCACAAGGGTAACTGAAAATGGGGAGGTATATGCTCACATGCATTTGTCTTCGATATAGTTCAGCAATTTTTTTAGTACTTCCTGTGTGCTAGGCACTGGGTATGCATAGAATAGTGACCCACAGACAGACCCCATGCTTTTTGGAGCTCACGCTGTCTCATCATCAGTCAGGCATCGCGAATGGGCTTGTTCTTTGGTATGAGATGTTAAGAAAAATAAAACAGGAACATTCAGGTGTGTGGTCAGAAAGCCTTCACCTGAAGGTGAGCTCTGAGCAGAGACTTGAAGGAGTCAGGAGACATGCCCATCTTGGGCTCACAGGACACCTGGTATGGTTTCTAGGTGAGAGTGCTAGACATATTCCAGAACAGGGAAGCCACAGTGGCTGGGCTTGGAGACCTGGTGTTCTTCTCAGCCAGGAGTCCTCTTGTGTGTGAGACACAATACATCACTTGAGTGACTGTTTACTTGGCTCCATGGATACCTAAGTAGTGCCATTCTAGATGCATGGGAAGTTTATTCCTTACGTGTATCAGATGCTTTAGAGCAGGCTCTGTAAACTCTGTAAAGTACCACGGTGAATACTTCAGCTTCATGGCCCCTGCCAGTGTTGTAGCCCCAGATAGCACATAGATGAAGCTTGGCTGTGTAGTAGAACTGTTCATAGATACCAGTGTTGGAACCCTACATGTAAATTTTCACATATCACAAAATTTTCTGGTTTTGCATTTTTTTTTCATCTGTTCAAGTTTGTAAAAATAATTCTTAGCCTATGAGCCCTCATCCTTAGTGCCTGTGTTGAGGGGGAGATCATGGGCAGCTCTGTGAGGAGATGGTCTCTGTGGATGAGACAAGCGTTGAGAACTTTCTAGCAGACATGGGAGGGACAAGACTAGTTCCAGCTGTAGTGCTGAGATAGCCTGGAGGAGGAGCTGAACTGGGAGGAGGACACCCCTGTGGGTGGCCAGAGACTGTGCTGGCATTAGAGTTTCCAGAACTTGTCCTAGAGGCAGCACCTGGGATTCTGTGCTTTAGTGATAACTTTTCTGTGCTGCATTTTCTGGTTTATTTTTACTTATTTATATTTTGGTGTTGATGGGGTAACCCAAAGCCTCACAATGTTAGGCAAGTGCTCTACCATTGAGCAATACCTCCAGCCCGTACATTTTTTAATAACATTAGCACAGTGATATGTGATGTCAACTTTTGAAATCTAGAGGGCAAGCAAGTTACTAGCATTTCGATTTCTTTTCTGTTGATATTGTAGACAGTATGACTTCACTTCTAGTCTCTTAGTTTTTATTAATTATAGTCTTTACATGTCTCCTTTAAATAGAGCTATCAGGGGAAAACATAAGTGTGGATGGGTGTGTTTTAATTCATTAAATATTCTAAGTTTTTGTATTGTGGGAAAATTAATCTGTTATTTTACAGTTAATGAAAATTATGAGTAAAGGGGTGGTCCCAGTCTTTTTATTGTGTCTTTAGATGCTGAGATACTGGGCATCTGTTATCATTTGTAGAGTTTGAAAATAACAACAGTTGTCCTAGTTTGGTGAGAGGGTTTGCTATTAAAGTATTGCCAGGTCGGTGGTAACAAGGGACATGATAAGACACCCTGAGGAAGCTTTTCAGAAATTAAATAATGCTGATGGCAATACTTGTCTTAAAAATCAAACCAAAATTTGAAGTGTGGAAGGGAAGAGCTTCACAGCATAGACTAGCACATGGAGGCTATCCATGGTGAACTCCTCTCTTCTTTCCTTCCTTGCCTTACAAAAAAGCTTTTTAACTACTATGCACAACCACGTGTGTGGAAGAGCGCGAGTCTTATAAAAGAGAGGCTGAAGGTTTGGTGCTCAGGGTGGTGAGCCAGCCCATGGACCAAGGGGGCAACTGTGTGTTTCACCACACTTTGGAAGATTCCAATTCAACATGTTTAATAGAAGCCAGAGTAAAGTGTGTCCTCTAGCTTCGGCTCTTCTGAGATTTCTGTTTCCTCCCTTCATTTTCTATTAGCACCTCCTTAAATCAGTTACTAATGTCAGCGCTCATACAATACCCCACAATATGGTACTTTGTCTTGATGAGTAGTTTTGAAAAAAGTCTCTCTGATCATCTCTTGCCTTCCTGTGTCTTGCTTCCTGAAGTGAAGCAAGTCATGGAAACCAGAATTTCTGTAAGACAGGTTATTGAAAAGAGAATTCTTTTCCCCAAAGAAGCCTTCAGACCTAGAGTCTCTCTCCCTTCTCACTTGAAGACATTCCTTCCAGTGAGTCCTGTCCCAGACCTGGGAGGAAAGAGTGCTGCATCAGAGACCAGGGAGGGCCTGAACAGATGGCATGACTGAGTTCCCTGTCTCTTACCATTAGATAGTAGCCCTTTGTTCAGTCATTCTTCTGTACAGCTGTCACTCTTCATCTAACCTAAGCATAAAACTAGACAGTTTCCCCTTTGGGTCTTCCTTTTAAAGGCTCCATTGTCACATAAAACTTTAAATCACTCTGTTGTGCTTTTCTCTTTTTTGACCTGTGTCATAGAAGTGCAGGCTGCAGTCTTTAGGATAAGTGAGGAAAGGAGTCACACCTTCCTGCCTCACTGTCTTTCCTGTGCTTTCTCATATTCACCTCATAGATGGTCTTTTTGCCTTCAGTCCTGTGGTTGTCCAGCATTTTTTAACCCTGCCAGCTGCTTTTCTAACTTGTAGGAATAGTCTGTTGTCTTAAATATCTCTGTCTGCAGGCCCTGTCTCAGTGCTTGGCTGGCAGCCACTGCTTCCTGTACCTAAAGTACCATAGTCACATCTTTTAATCCTGCAGCCCTGACTTAAATGTCTCTCCTGCCCTACTTATTGGATTCTCTTCCCATAAACATCAGCTGTCTGGTTTTCTTATGTGTCTCTTCTGTGCTTTGTAGCATTTTTATTTTCTGTGCTTTGGTAGTATAATGCTTGTTTATTAGCATATCTTTCATATTTTTGTTATACTGTGTCTCCTCTAAGTTGTGACTTTATACATGATCTGTTTGGAGGTGAGAGCTGCTGCCTTTTGTCATTTTCCCCGTGCAGTTAAGGAATTTATTCCTTGTCCTGGCTCCTGGGTGGTAACCTGTAATCACCTTGGGATTTTCTGTGCGTGGTAGTGTCTGTTACTACTCATAGTGGCCCCACATTTTATGCTGAGCTCAGAGTCATGTGCTCTGTGAACCACATGTGTCAGGGGTGGGCCTGGAGGTTCAGTCTGTCATCCCTACATAATTAAACCCCAATAACAATTCTGAGCACCGTGCTCAGGCAAGCTTCCTAGGTTGGCCGTACTAGTACTCTTTATTTAAAGTACTGGCACTTATCATGGGCAGGTGGGTAAGGGTTTCTGAAGAGATGGAAGCTTCCTGTTTAGAACCATTCTAGAATAGCCCTAGTATTTCTTCCTCTGGCTGGTTCTAATCTGTATTCTCTTATAATGAAGCTGTCATCATTGTAGCACTTCCTGAGTTTCATGATCTTCCTAGAGAATCATTACACCTAAGGGGGCCCCAGACTTTGTAGCCAGCTAGCCTGGAGTGAGGATGACCCTTTTAACACAGGGCTTTGCAGCAATCGCTGAGTAAAAGTTTGTGTTCACTCACTGTTTATGTCTTAATACAGTTGTTTATTTGCATATTTTATGAAAAATTTTTATGTTATCTATATTTGAAAATACATTCTTTCAATTTTGTTGTATTTTGTTTTAAATTAAGCTGATTACAACCTACTTCATTGATTTCTTAGCCTATTTCAGGTCATTAGTTGCAACCTGTAAAACTAATATTGGTTATAATTGCTTTCTGTTGTTTTTGTATCTGGGCAGTTAGTGTCAGATCACTGAGCCTGGTGATCAGCATTCTCTGCCAGGGTTCCTCTGCACTGCAGTTTTGTTTTTTGTTCTTCTGTAGAGAAGATGCAGATACCTCCCACCTGGCATATGAGTCTTTGCATCGCAACTAACACACTCTTTATGTCCTCTCCTTCTTTTTAAGGTAACATTTGCCGGTCACCTATCGCAGAAGCAGTTTTCAGAAAACTTGTAACTGATCAAAACGATTTAGACAACGTAAGTACTGTTCAATACATTAAAGAGGCCAACCTGAACACCTCTGGGCAAGAAAGTGCCGAAAACATTCTCTTTCTTCTCATGCAGTGGAGGATAGACAGTGCAGCCACATCTACCTATGAAGTGGGGAACCCCCCTGACTACCGTGGGCAGAGTTGCATGAGGAAGCATGGCATCCCCATGAACCACGTTGCCCGGCAGGTACCGTACTAGAACTTGATTGTGTTCTGTGTTACAGTGGACCATTGACAGCGGTGCTGTTTCCGACTGGAACGTGGGCCGGGCCCCGGACCCGAGAGCCGTGAACTGCCTAAGAAATCATGGCATTAGCACAGCCCATAAGGCAAGACAGGTAGAAGAGATCTTGTTTAATTTCTGCACAGAGGTGGAGAGGCCTGTGTGTTCACAGCTGTGTGTATTTGGGGTGAACCAACCTGCTACATGTGGAGTTCTGAAAGACTTGCATGACCTTGGGATTGCTTACTAAAATGCACATAAAATTACGTCAATCACTGAGAGCAGTGGCTGCTAGAGGGCTGCCAGCTAGAGCTGTGGTCTCCATTCTCTTACCACTTCGTGAGCTTTAGTTAGACATTTAAGGCCTTTGTGACTGTTTGCTTACATTACCAAGTTTGTTGCTAGAACACAGTCACATAGTATATACAAAAGCATATTTTAACTATAAGTACCTTAAACAAATAAAAGGTAATACTGATATTATTATGGGTCCCTAATTAAGGATGTCATGCCGGACTTAAGTTTGAAGTCTACTAAGGTTTAACAAACTTCATATGAAGGTAGCTTTGTATTTATATTATAAATCAGAAAATACAGTTGTGTTTCTGAGAGTTCTTTATTTGAGCTTGTTATTTTCACTGGGCAGAAGATGAAACATTTTATATCATGTGATGATTGTGATCTTTCCAGGCTTTTGCATAACTTTCCGGGTTCTACTTGTATTTTTTAAGGTTATATATTTATTTTAATAGTCCTTCAGCATTATGAGCAGTCTATTTTCAGGTCAGATGTCTTTTCATGCACTAGGTATATAACAAAAGTGGATGTGGATGGGTTATTTCAAATACACATGCCCTAAAAAGCAAAGCTGAAAACTTTAGGAGCAGTTTTGATTACCAGCTTTGGAACTAGCATTTCTGGAGTCTAATTCTGCTTTTCTTCCTGTTACTCTCAGGGATGTTTTGTGGCTGGCTGTGGTGAGGCATGCCTATAAGCAGTGTCACACCAGGTCTTTTGTGTTCACATGTTCCTTACCAGTTGTCACAGTTTGTGTAGTGACTGTTCCAGTACGCTTCTTATTTCCCTTGTACTTTCAACCTAGGTGTAACAGATGATACATTTTTACAGTTCTCACTTCTTTTCAACTCAATCAGGCTCTGGAGAAGTATGCTCTCAGTCCATTTGGTTGCATGGAGATTTGTCTTTGTTATACAAGCTTTCCTCTTTTCAGTAAACTTGTCATTGACAAATGCACAGAGTGAGTGTAGCCCTAAAGCCCTTTGGAAACCAGTGCCCATTCCTGCAAAGGTCACTCCCAAAATATTGCCTGCCTTTCAGCCTTGTAGAAGTAGGGTCTTGGGCCTCTGCATTCTTGTGCCAGCTGTTTCTGTTGTGCTGCTGCTCGTCCCAGAAGCTCTTCCTTGTCCTTGCTGGATGCTGTGTGTTCCACAGCTTGTTTGCCCCTGTGCCCTGCTGGGTGTGGGCTATCGCTAGTTTGGGCTGCACAGGTGGTGGAGGGTGGTGAGCATACTGAGATGTTCCCACTTCTGTTCTTTGAAAAAGTTTGAAGAAGATTGATGTGATTTCTGCTTAAAACTACTTTGATTTTTCTCTGGCTAAGTTTTCCTTTGGTATTTAGATTCAGCAGTTTTGTTGTGGGAGGCCAAAGTGTTCTTCTTTACCTGTGGAAAATTCCGGGATGTTATCGTTTTATATTTTACTTCTCCTGTTTTTCTTTTCTTCTGAGAGTCAGTTTATATTGAACATAAATTTCTTATGATCTTTCCTCCATTTTCCATCCTTTTTACTTTTCTTCATTCTGAGATTTCCTACTGACCTGTTTTCTGATATACTAACGCTTCTGTATTTAAAGTCTATGGAATTGTTCATTCTGAGTTCTTAGTGACAAAATTTTGTTTTATTGACGGTATGCGTTTACTAGTTTTTATTTTAAATAGATTAATTCTCTGAAATCCTTTTCCAAATACACATTTGTTTATTTTGTTTGTTTTTTGTTGTGAGGTATTGGGGCTTAAACCTGGGTCTTTGTACATGTGAGGTAAATGTTCTGCCACTGAGCTACATCTCCCAGCCCATCTGAGTTACTTCAAACAGTTTGAATTCAAGCCTAGATCATTTGTGACCCTACTGTCTTTGTTTCTTCTGTTTGTATGCTTGCTAACTTCCCATTAAATTCTGAACGTGGTATGTGGGGCATGGTGGAACCTGTGGGTAATTGTGTTTTGCCCCATATGGTTGGCTGTTGCAGGGAAGAAGGTAGGTGGTCACCTCAGTATGATCAGGTGGAGCTGACTTGAGGCTGGCAACAACCTTTATTCAGGAGGCTTAATCCACCTTTGAGCTTCCCAGTCTTTCCTCTGGAGCATCAGGCACAGAGTTGGCAGAATGCCTCCAACGTGGCAGCTTCTACAGTAGAGTGCTCATCTCTTACTGAGTCTGTGCAGCCTCCAGGTGCCCTCTGGAGCTTCTTGCCCTGGGTTGGTGGAAGACTTGGCAAATTCTTAGAAAAAAAGCATGTGCCAGGCCCCCGTCTTCCAGGACCTGTGTTCCTCCAGGGATGGCTGTCCCACCACCCCTAATTTCAGTTTTCTTCTCAGCCTCTGAACTTCTGACAGCTCAGCAGTGCTCTGCTTGAAGAACATCTGCCAGCACCCTGCCTGGCATCGGTGCCCCATGTCATGACAATGAGAACATCTGGCATTGCTCACTGTCCCCTCTTATGAGAACCCCAGTCCCCTGGCTAAAATACAGTTTTTTAAGTGTGGTCCAGTGGCCATCAGTCTCCTTTGAAGATGTGTTAAAAGGTTCATACTGAGCAGTGGGCCTGAATAGACAGGTGTGAAATGATTGTTGACTGGACCTCCAATTCTACATTGTAGCTGACCACTGAGAAGCTGTCTATCACATTTCAGTTTTGTGTAATGATCTGCAGGGTTGCTGAAACACTCCTTTAAACTGCATGTTTGGGTGGGGCTGAATTTACTTCATGTAGTGCAACTCCAGCAGCATTTTGCAACAGAATGCAATGCAGATAGACATAGGAAGATCCATCCTAACCAGTGGCACTCTTCTAACCAAGAGCTCGTTTGGAGAGTATAGTTGTTCTTCATTAAAAATAAAAAAAGTTTTAAATTGTAACAATTAATTTATTTAAACATTATTAGTAATGGTGACAAATATTGGTAGATATAACCCCTGTAAACAAGTTGCTTTAAAGCAAGGATGAATAGTTTCTGAGAGTTCCTAGGCTCTTCTGCTGAACATGAGCTACGATCAGTGTTGGTGCATCAGCAGGTGAGACTCTGCTGTCTTGTGTGAGCAGCCTGTGAGACCAGCCAGCTTGTTGAGTGCCATCTGGTGGCATTGCTGCCACAGCTGCAGAGTTGAGCACCTTCAGGAGTTCTTGGGGCCACAAAACCAAGTGGGTGGGTGAGGGTCTTCTAGTTGTTTTGGGTAGTAGAGTTAATTTGACCCAAGCCATACATGTCTGTCTGCAAACAGAAATCCTCTTCTAGATATTTCCTGTGAAGCATTAAGTTATAGCTGTTGCTGTTCTTTCTCAGTTATTTTAACATCTAAAAACCATGTGTGACTTCACTTAGCAAGTTGCTAAGCATTTCTTTTTTTAGGGCAAATTAATTACAATCCAAATTGTTCATCCAAAATTAACAATTTTTAAACAGTAAATCTTTGGACATTTCTCACATGTGATTTGAAAAAATAATGTAGTGTGCTTATATAATTTTTGTTCTAATATCTTAAAGTAGATAAATTTTTTAAATAGGTTAATTAGTTAGTGTCTTGGGAGTATTAATACAATCCAGTCCTTTGTAATTATTGATCTGCTACACTAAAAATTGATGGAAGTGCATATGAAGTCATTTTTAACAGAATAATGAAGAATAAGCATATTTATTGTTCTTTTACCATATTCATTGTCTATGATATTATTACTGTTCCTTCAGGTTTTCATTGTCTCCTACATTAAATGACATTTTAGAGGATTTTTTTTCAACAAGGAAGATTATTATTGAAGTTATATTCTAGGGTTTATTTTCACTTTTATTCTGCAGCATGTTGATGATCTTTTGTTGTTTTATTTTCTTAATAATCACAATTTATAAAATAAGTTTTCACTTGCATCGTAAGTGGTTTACATTTGTAATTGATGATGTTGGGTTAGACTCAGGAGTTCCTAAGTGACAGTCTCCTTGTGTCATATTTAAGTTGTGGGTGTTTGGTCAGGGTAAAGTCCACAATTCAGTTGCTTCTGGTAAACCTCCTCTGACCTCCCTGCTGGAAATTTATCCTCCTCCCTCTCCCAGAACCCCGTCCTTGGTGTTTTCTGAGGTATCTGTGCCTCCTGCCTGATTGGGTGGTTTCACGAGGACAAGGCCTGAGGCTTCAGCTGGGTCTGTAACAGGGCCTGGGACACTCAGTGCCCATGAATGAGAAACAGTGATGGAGGGTTGTGTGCCCACAGACTGCCTCTGGTTTCTAGGGGACGAAGCTGACTGTTAGTGATCACCACAAGGAGTCTTAGGAGATAACATTTTCTTGTAAGCACTAATACAACTTGGGAAGTAGATTAACTGTATTTTAACTTAAAAGTGTCCTGAATTGTTTAATTACATTGTTAATTAGCAAGTTTAAGAAACATAGTGTTTGGTTCTGTTTTATTTTTTCTTCTCTATTTTTGAGAGGTATAAATATAAATAACTGTATTTTGACTTCTTGCTCAATTTTAGGTGACCAAAGAAGATTTGGCCACATTCGACTATATATTGTGTATGGATGAAAGCAACCTGAGGTAATCATTTTTTTTTTATTTTTTTTTTTTGAGGGGAGATACCAGGGATTGAATCTATTTTCAAAGCATAATCTTATCCCATTCTCAGTGTGATAATAGGCCAAGTAGTTTGCTGTCCAAAGTGACTTTTATTATGTTACAGTTTCTCATACACAGTGCTGTTACAATGTGCATAATTATTTACTTAAATAACATAAATGGAAATTCAGAGAATAATCTGGTATTTCTCCTGGGTCTCTTTACATAGACAGGAAAATCCGTTTGGCATGATAGAGCTGGACAGTAGGGCTGGGATCTGTGATTGTAGGAGATGTGTTGATTCCTATGACTGATTTCCTACTGCAGCAATTCACGAGCTAGAAGTGTTTGTTCCTCCATTGACACTGCCCCCACTCAAAGTGAGACTGGAAAGGCAGAAGACCTTTTACTGGATTTAAGATTGAGCTAAAACTAATGGGCTGAGGTATTACATAGCAGCGACTATAAAACCTCAAGCTTACATGCCTGCAGGCCCCAGCACTTCTGCAGAAAGTTTCTGTTACTGTCAGAGAGGAAACTGAGGAATGGCGAGCTTTAGTTCAGGTGCACAGCAAAGGTGGTGGATGTGGGAGGCCTAGGCTGTAGCCTCCACCACCACAGTTTCCTCGCACATCATCATGCCCTCATCTTGTCCACCCCCAACCCCCTGGTGTTTATTATTGCTGCTGTCAGTGTAACCATAAGCATTTATTGACTTCCATCACTACTTATTTAAAAATATTCCATGTTTTTGATGAAGAGATATTATCTGTGCTTTTAATTACTTATAGGAATGAACCAGTAACCATCGTAACAATTTTGCTTATGTTTTTGTATTAATTAGGCCCTTCATTAAAATTCAGATTTTTTTTTCATTTTTATTGTTCAGTTGTTAATTTGTTTTGTCCTTTTCTAAAAAAAAATACCACAGCTTATAGGTATTATAGAAGGTATCCTATCAGGAGATAGGATACTCTTGATTGTTGCTGAGTGTACAGTGTTCCCTGTGGGATGTCAGTCGGGTCAGTTCTGGGTGAAGCTCCCCTGGTGCTCTGGCCTTTGGGTCCCAGCCTAATTTCACTTCTTCTTGGATCTTCTGTTGCCCTGCAGCCTGGACCAGATTGTCCACTGACTGTGAGGCCCTGCAGGTCCAGGGACTGCGCCTAATTCAGCTCTGAGACTTCAGACAGGAAGGTTCTTGTCTGTCCTGCTCCTAGACTCATCATAGGGGCTCAATTGGAATTTGTCAGCTATGTGGAAGAATGATAAAAATGTAGCAGTGTGAAAGTTAGAAGTGAAGACACCAGGAGAGTGGTGTGGGCATAAGTAGTGAGGCAAGAGCCATGGACATGCATGTTTGGTCACCACGGGAAGAAACTGTGGCTCTTGGAGTTCCCTCATGTCATCTTGTTTCTCTCTGAAATATCTTTCTGATTTGATGGTTTCAGTGTATTTCACAAGAGAACACGGAGCTGCTGTCTGACGGTGAGGTGTACTTCCTGTGTGTAGGAAGTAGTGGGATGTGCTATTGCTGCTCACTCCCTGCCCAGGAGACAGAGCTGTGGCACACAGTTGCACAGAGGGCCTGTGCCTCAGTGCAGGATTTGGTTTCACTGAAAATCAGGTCACTTTTGCTGGATTTTGATATGGGTATTTCATAAACCCCTAGCAGATGTCCCTGTTTAACTTGAAACCATAGATCAGAAAACTAAGTTCATGTTTCGATTTTGCAGAGATTTGAATAGAAAAAGTAATCAAGTTAAAAACTGCAAAGCTAAAATTGAACTGCTTGGAAGCTATGATCCACAGAAACAACTCATTATTGAAGATCCCTATTATGTAAGTACAGTGCACATGGTAGGGCCAATGTAAAGATCTGCAAGTCCAGGCCTGCGGTGTTAAGTGACAGGCTGAGGTCCCTCAAGGACACTTTGGGTGCTGGTATTGCCAGCTGTCCTTCTTCCTGTCTTCCAGGGGAACGATGCTGACTTTGAAGTGGTGTACCAGCAGTGTCTCAGGTGCTGCAAAGCCTTCCTGGAGAAGGCCCACTAGGACCACCTGCCCACTACCAGCTGGGGACGCTCCCTATCCACGTTCTGCATCCTCATCCTGTGCTCCGGTGTACTGCCACTCCTTTGACCCAGGCCCTGCCTGCCCCTTCAGCTGACTGTTGTCTCTGACCTGACCTGACAGATCATCGTAGTGGAAACCAGCTGTGTCTACAGAAGAATCAATAAAAATGTTGGACTCAAAGACAGTTTGTAGGGTGCAGTGAGAGTTCTTAGACTAGTGGAGCCTTCTCTTTGCCCTGATTATGCTAGTGGAGTGAGCAGAGAGAAAAACAGCCCCAACCACTAAGTACGCACACCCGAAGGCCCAGGTTAGTCTCTGTGCCCAGTAAGGTTGGATGGCCTGGTCTCCCTGCAGTGATTGTGTGTGGCTGGCCAGTGCCTACAGGGCACCTGTGCTCATCTGTGTATCCAGAGTCACAGTGACCCTGTCCATAGCGGCTCTCCATGGCTGCAGCAAGTGTTTTAGCTCACCCACACACAGTGCACATGATAGGAGACAGACCGATGGGATTGATCTTTAGCACCTTTAGTATTTGTTGGTTTTTGTCTGATTTAAGTCAGCTTATTTGCTCTCATTTGAGCCACTTTGTATCCAAAAATTTAATTATATCTGGAAAGGACACTTGTATGCTATGTATCCTATGGTTGGTTGAGGGGTATGTTTGTTTTATATGCACAGGTAACTCAAATGTAAATTGGCTTAGGTATGAAAAAATAATTTAAGCAGTCAGTTATGTTGGTGTCCTTAAGTATTGATATGTTAATAAATGTTTCATGAGTATTTAAAAGCTATAGGCAAATACAGGTAATTTCACTATAATCTCAAATTCACATGGATATATGTCAGAAAAGATTGTTTTCAAAATAAACTTGGGAGTTATAAAAATGAAATAGATAAATCTGATGTATCGCCTGCTTTTTTATTTACCAATGAGGAACGATTGAGAAACCGTCTGTTTTGTCACTTTCAGATGGTCTGTGGTGTGTATGTGCATATTTACCCTTGGTACTAGGAAGTAAAATGATGAAAATAATAAGCTGTTCCACTTACACTGGCATCTAGGTATGGAAGACATCGGGGCCCTGGGATGGAGGTACTCTCAACTCTCCTTGTGGAGGTGGTGCCTGGGCTGGCCTGCCACTCAGCGGGTGAGTGGCAGTTTGCTTTATCCTATCCTGGTCCTGCATTCAAAGCTGGTGACCTCTAACCTGTAGAGGACTTTTAGTCAAAAAATCAGTCCTTGTTGAAAGGCTGAGTGGAACACCAACCTAAGAACAGGGAGAGTTGGGGGACGGACACCCTGAGTGAGGGTCCTGGTGGAATTACTGTGTCACACAGAAAACTCCAGAGGTTAGGTTAGGGATATGATAATGGTGTCCCCAAGCTAAAGAACTGGAAAGAAAAGGTCAAATGATCAGCCACAGTAGGGAAGCAGGTTTAAGTAAGAAGTCAGGGCTGTTCCCTGTCAGTAATTGCTTTGTAATCCCATTGTCAGGAGTATTTCTTAATCCTTTCCATCCCTGTAAATAAAAAAAATGCTGTAGTTCTCTCTGATATGCATCTTAAATGCAGACTCTCAAACTACAGAATGATGCTGTGTCCCTACAGCTGCTCACATTGTGGCCAGGGACTCTCTGCTTTGTGAGTTTAACTTTTTAATTAGATCCCAGGTCTTTTCAAGATCTATCCAACCCTAACTGTTCACAAGTCTTAAAGTTCCTTTACCTGGGAAACAGTGGATACAACTTATTTGGAGTACTTAACTAGCAAAGAGACCAAGCTACCTCAGGAGATTATGTCATTGATGCATAGTAACCTCTGCTATTAGAAAATGCTAATTGCCCTTTATACGGATCCTTAGCTGTTGAGTTCCATTCACTTATGACTTTTAAGTGTGTAAGCCACAAATGCTCAGTGATGAACCCAAGAGAAGTAAAGGACCACTCCAAAAACTGTTCATTATAACAACATTTGTTCATTTATTATTTATTTACAGTATTTACATATTGCACAATAGCAGGAGGGCTGTTTTTCATTTACCGTATAAGAACAAACGGAACTGGCCTGGATATATTCACAAATTTATACTCCACTGTCTTCAAAACATGACTGAAGTTTTTATTTACCTCTTTTTTTTTTTTAAATTTTTCATGCAGGTCCAAATAATATTCTGGGAGTTTAATTGTAAAAGTAATACAAAATATCGAATCATACTATATGCTCTATGAAAATATAGTTTAAGATTCTGCCTATGTTTCTAAAGTAATTTTTTTGTGATTTCATCTAATCTGGAAAATGAAATAGTCTCTCATAACACTGCACATCAAATGTGAAGTGTTCTCTTGTTTTTTAAGATATAATGGCAAGGATCTCCTTCAGGTACACTGATTTACTGAATACATATCTGCAAACAGTGTCAACAGCTTACAAAATGCAAAGGAATTTTGGAAGAGTCTGTAAAAATAAACCTCTGTCCACATGGAGTGGGTGTGGAGAGCTGTCCGGCTGGTCTCCAAGGCACTGCTCAGGGTCCTGCTGTGTGGCTCCTTCCAGCTGAAAACAAATGCATCTGGTGTCCTGTGGCTGCACACACTTTGTTATCAGTGCTAGAGGACCTGTTGCTTTAGCTGTTTAAGAGCACACTTAGAAACATGGAGTCTCTATGTGTGTGCATATAGCTGTGCATTCCAAAAAGCAGTCTCATTTATTCTGGAAAATAACTCAGTTTTGCAGTTACCATATACTCACTGCACCAAAGGATGAAAACCATCTACTCATGGGAACTCTGATTAGCATTAGCACAGGAATGTTGGGCTGCCTGGCCCTCTGTGTGTGGTCACAGCCTCAGGCTCATTCCATGGGGTCTGCAGCTGGTGGCTACTCTGCGAGATGGCTGGCCAGCTTTCTACCTCTGTTCACAGGTGAGCAAAAGGAGTGCTGTGGTTTCTGGTACTCCTAGAATAATGATTACCCTTCATTCTTTTAACATTTAGTTTTTAGTTGTAGTTGGACACAATACCTTTATTTCATTTTATGCATTTTTATGTGGTGCTGAGGATCGAACCCAGGGCCTCCCATGTGCTAGGTGAGTGCTCTAACGCTGAGCCACAACTTCAGCCCCTACCCGTCATTTTTAAAAGTGGGGGACACCTGCAAGTTTAAGAGGCTGTAGCCTGTAGGATAAAGCAGATATTTACATATGCTCAGAACTACACTTTTTTGAACATATCCCTGAACTTGGGCATTTCATCCGACTACCTGTAAAGGAATGTTTGATGTAGGGAATGAAGTTTCTCTTTGGTCTGAGGTCAGTGAGCTCCAGAGAAGGGGCCCAAAGTTTGACCCTTGCTCCTGGCCGATTTAGAGACCGGCCCTTCTGGACTCTGGGCAGGTGCTAAGAGTGGGATCTTACCCTGCAGCCTGTGTGTGGGATGGAGAAGAGGCCACTGGGCACAGCAGAGGGACATGGCATGGCCACTTGGCAGAACATTTGCTTAGGGTTCCCAGTATATCATCCCCACCATGGGTGTCATGGGACATGTGCTCTGCCTCTGAGGGTCTCACTGATGTTCCAAGCCAAGCTGTGAAGCACAGAGAAACTGACCTGTGTCTACACTGGTGACCCAGCCAGTTAGGAGTTAGCTATTGCAATTTAAGACTTTTGGAAGAATTTAATCTTTAAAACATAAAAGTCATGACAACATCACAGTAGAAATCCCACTGTTTTAAATTTACCCATTTCCTGGCCAAAATGAACCTGGCTACATTTGTGACAACCGTGACTGCAGCAAACAGGTGGCCCTGGGCCTGGAAGCATGCAAGCACATGCCTTCATCCTACAATTGGCAGTGCACATGGGGAAATGACCAAGGGACAGCAGGCCATGCCAGGGACTTGTGGCTCAGCACACAGGATGCCTTCCCCTGGCTACTTTCCTGATCTTATCCCTCTGCAGGCCAGAGCTGAGCCACATAAGCCCAGTGTCCCTGATGATCTGCCAAATGTCCACCTGTGGTCTGCCAAGAAGATAGCAACATGTAGCTGGAGCTCTGTAGATGGGCAAGGGCACCTTTGCCCTCCCCACTTGTAAGTGAATGGCAACTTCCAAGGGTCTGTGGCTAACATCTAAACAGTGATGGCAGGCTAAAGGCCCTGTCTTCCCCACACCTTCCCATGGGAGACTTGTAGGCTATATGTCTGTTCTTGGCTTGAAAGAAAGTAGGCTATATGTCTGTTCATGAATTGAAAGAGTATTCTGCCTGCCTGCCACAAGGCAGCTGATGGGCTTAGGATGTGGAGGGAAGTAGGAAGCTGCACTTTCTGGCTTTGACTGGCTTCAGAACACCTCTACCAAATAGCGAGCCAGGGAACCTCTGTAACCCTCTGCACCCACACACCCTGTCCTCAGTGCTGCTCTTCTTTCCAGGGGTACTTGTTCCTGATGGGGATGAGAGGATGTGAAGATGGTGAGGATAGTGTCATGAAGCCCCCTTCGCCCCCCGCACTAGCTCAGCACACAGCAGAATCCAAATCGGCCTCTGCTGCTTTTGCACACTAGGCATGTGTGAAAGCACCACACTCATTCACTGCTGAGACGAGCTGGTGCACCATGCTATTTACTACCTATAGCCACCTACTGCTGGTGCAGGATTAGTGATGGTCCTGTGGCATCTGTCAGGAAAGTAAAGCTTACCTCCTAGCCATTGCTGGCTTCCTGGACAATAGCTGATACTATTTGTTACACAGCACACCTTGAGAGGCCAATGTAAAATTAAACTCTTGAAAATTCATTTACATGTCTGCCACTACAGCTTAAGAAAACCATTGATGAGAACAGTTAAAGAGGATGACTATTCTGTTGAAGCCTCTTGGTACAAAAAGATTCCCAACCTTTAGCAGATACAGCATAAAATTCACATGGACACCTAGTCACATATGGACAGGCCCCTACTTGGGATGGTTTGACTCACGATGTCTTAACTTTACCCTGGTGTAACAAAGAGGTACAGATCATGCTTCAGATTTTGATTTCTGATTTTTTTCCTGGGCTGATGTGTCCTACAGTTTCCTTGTGAGGCAGCAGCAACCTCTAGCTACGTCTTCCAGCCAGCACACTGTCTAGGTTATGCGTACTAAATGCGTGTTTGACTGATGATGGATTTGCTGGGACGTAGTCCATTGTAAACTGAGTAGCACTGGTACTCACTTCTCAGTGGCAGTGAGTGAATGAAAGCCTGAAAGGAAATGGGCATGGTTCTAAGTGAGTGCCCTAGTTCAGGCACACATCTACACAAAGTCAGCCACCAGCCTGCTCCTTGCTGTTTAAGTTCGGGCTGGACGACTGAGGGCTGCTTGGACCGCCAGTAGGGGGCACCTGCTCCTCATGGTAGCCTTCTGAGCTATTCGGGTGTTAAGTTCTCTCAGGAAGGCTAACTCCACCGCCAAAGGATGAGTGTTCTAACTCTGAGCTCCTCATGTCTCAAACCAGATTCTGACCCTCAGGGAGTGGCCAACACAGCTGTGGGGAGCTTACCTTATCCTTCCATGCACATTGGGCTGACGGCCAGCCGAGTGAGAAGCCTGGCACATCTTTTATAGTCTACAGCAAAAATAAACCACAGACCCTTTCAGTTATCTGAACAACACTAAAAGAAACAGTAGATTTTTCAATTTTTGGAAGTATATAAATTGAGACAGCCATTTTAAAAAATATTTTGAATTTCCTGGAAACGACACAGACTCTGTCATCTACATTCATGGCTTCTAAGTTGTTGACTTAATAATTTATGGTTCTTCAAGGATGTTAGCATCACAAGCAGATGTCAGAGCTCATGGAAATGCCTGTAGTGTTGCTTACAAGAACACAGAATCTTAGTATGCCCTTGCGTGACTAAACTTTTAGGTCATGTGTAAACTGAGCTGACCATGCTGCAAAAAGTTGTGTGTTAATGTCCTAAAGAAAGTGGGTCACATTAGCAGAACACAGACCCGGATTGGACAGCAAAAAAAAACTAATAAGCTAATTTTCCTTTTTTTTTTTTTGAGGAGGAGGAGGGGTGCTGGAGATTGAATTAAATGAGTTTCTGAATGCAGACTGGTGTTCCCCATTACTCTATTCCACCAGGTGCTACCTCAGAGAATCCATGGAAAGGTTCTGTGACCACAGCCATAAGGGAATTTCCTCAGGATAAATTCTGTGGAAAGCTACACTTGTTTATAAATTACTAACACTTCTTTCTCAGAAGCAACAAAACCCAACTTAAAAAGGGAAGTGCTCATACTGAACTAAGAATCTGAATGAATGGGTAAATTGACAATAATAGGTATGCACAGTGTGTCAGACAAGGAACTTACTCCACTCTAAATATTTAGAGTTCATACTCTTTGTGTTCCAAGCAGGGAAACTATCTACCCACTGGCAGCTGGTCACCTCAAGGATGGTCTAATTGGCAAACTGTAAATACTTCCATTTGTAAATTGTCCAGAGATCCCAGTTGGTGCCCATGCTGTTTAATCCAGATGTGTCTAATCTTACCCCTCAGACCCTAATGCACAGAGCTCATCTAGGGATATAGTTAAATGTTGATTCCATTCCTTAGGTCTGGGAGGGATTTTGTTCTGCATTCTAGCAGGCTCCCATGGACCACAGAGTAAGAAGGTTCTGAGACCCCTTCCACTTCCAGCATGTCAGAATTCCAGGGATATGCTTTTATGCTGCCTAAAGCAAACTAGAAGTGGTCAACTTAGCTCTCCAGCTCTTTGTAGGCTGAGAAGAGGAGAAGGCAGCCACACATCTAAGTGCACACACATGTTGCCTTCCACCTTTGGGGACTCGGGGTGAACTGTGACTAGGAGTTTTGGTATTTTGCAACCAAATGGAGGTGGACAACATTGGCATAACATGGCATCCTGGAAAAGACACTGCAGAGATGACACACGATACCTGAATCCTGCCTTGCTGACACCTATTGACTGAAAATGAGCAATTTAAAATTGTCTCCATCTGTGAGAGAGAGGATTAGCAGTTTCTTTAGGGTCTCTTCCACATGTAAAATTCATGGTCCTACTCTTATAATACTGAACTTAAAATATGTGCACATTAAACAATAAAAAGCTTCTTTGGCCCCAGGAAGCATGTGAATGATTTTGAAAAAAAAGAAAGCAGGGCTGGAGTGGGAATAAAGGCTCCAGTCAATGTGCCATGAGCTGAGATGGAGCTGTATGGTGCTCAAGAAATGCTCCCTGTGAACCTAGGAACTTTACTTACAGTGAAAGATGCTAGACAAGCTACCTGACTGGCTGAGACCCACAGGTGTGATATGAATGGCCCTAGCAAAGTTCTTGGTGTATGACACAGCTCTTAAACAATGCACATTACCACCAGGGCAGCTATGCTGCCCCACAAGGAAAACAACCTCTTGTGACCTGGCTCTGTTTGGAAGGCAGGACAGATGCCTAGTAGGCTGTTGGCCTTGGCAGGCTGCTGGCCTTGGTGGTCTCTGAAAGCAGTCTTCATGGTTTTTCTCCTGTCAGCCTTGAATGAGGTGGAAGTTGTCCCAATTAAAAAATAGCTTTATGGAGAGCACAAAGAGCCACTTTTGGGGAAATAAAATGTTTTGTTATGGCCAAACAGCTGGAAGCATGCCAAGGAGAAAGGAAAGAAGCCCTAGGGGACAGCCATGACTGAGAACTGGACATATGAGAGCAAATGACATTTCTCCACTAGAGAATAAGGCAGTCCAAAGCGCAGAATTCTGAAACAACTGAAAGATTCTTGGGTGATGAGGCTATCACTAATGTAAAAAAAGGTCACAGCACTGGACAAGATCAAGAATGTGACCTGAAGATCCAGGCCAACTTAAAGGTAAACCCCAGGCCTCTGCACAGGCAGCTGGTACTTCAAGGACTCATGCTTCACCTGTCTGATTGTCACATTTAAGCAGAACAAATATACACACCACACCAGAATTCATAACCATTTCTTCTCAGCTGAAATGCTGTGCTTAGAAAGTGAATCAAAGCATTCAGCCTACTCCAAGCATGGACTAATTCCAGAGACTACGTAAGTTTTGTTCAGTGTGGCACTGCCTGATGCAGAGGTTAGCTATCTCTTCCGATCACTGGGGATGGTGGCCCAACTCTTAGCTAGTGAAGACTCGGCCCCAGTGCATTTAGAAGGCAGGCTGCTCACTTACATGCCGGGATGGTGCAGTCTCGGGTGTTGTGGTAAAGTCTGTGGAAGTGCTTACTGCACTTAGGACTGAAATAGAGAGGACCTGGAACAGGAAGAAGAAGGCCATGAAAACACAGAGAACAGAGGAGCAGGGAGGGCAGCGGGGGGCGGGGGTCTCACCTGTGAGATGCTTCAGAAACTTGTCCTTCATCCTCAGGTCTCGAGGGACAATTTCTGTAGGGGGAGAAAATGTTACACTGGCTGAAGAAACCATGTTTAATGTGATCCCCAGTTAAAGTCGAGAAACCCACGAATGTGAATTAGCCACAGCATCATGTATGGGAGCCCCCTGGATCCTCACATACAATGGAATGAAGACTACATCAGGGACATGTTTTTCTTCAAACAGTGTTACCTACTCATAAAGTTCCAGTGATATCTATCTACTCTCTATGACTAGGATAGAAACAGGGGCCACAGAGCTGCAGGATGAAGAAGACTTCTTGTTTCTTAAATGGTTAGCTGCTAGGAACAAATCACTTTTAGACACTTCATTTTAAATCAAATCCCATGACATTTCAAAGTGCTAGAAAGAAAACTTGACTCTTCAAACAAAAGCTGAGTGATAGAACATTACATTTTTCTGGACATATATTTAGAAAAAAGGGTTAAATGCCTAAACCACCTGCCAGGAAGGTATGAATGGAAAGGCACAATGGCCTGGCCTGTAAGATAGCCAAGACTTCCCAGGAGAAGGCTCCCAAGCCAGCTCCACACCCCTGCTCTGCACTGGCACCTGCTTCCAGCACGGTTGCCCTGCCATTCTTTGATTCCAGCCTTTGCTTTCTAACAGTGCTCTGTCACTCTCTGTCCCCTGATGTGGGTTAGGAACTTTGCTGCGATGTATGTGATGCTGCACTTCGGAAGCATGCTTGGCTCCTTGCACAGGGACAGATGCACTGGAGCCTTCTTTGTACAAGGGGGAAACTAGTGTCAGTCTTCATTTACTCCTCACCTGAGTCAATCCATATAAACTGACCTTATCATATTTGACCTAATTGTGTCATGAAAGCATTAAAAGCTTGCATGCTTTCCTGGGAAATTCCCTGTGGGGCAGCTCTCTGAGAAGGCCAATGCATAGGGGAAAGCTCTGGACCATTTCTTCTCAGCTGAAATGCTGTGCTTAGAATACTTCCATTTCCAAAATAACAGACGCCAGTTCGGTGCACATTCCTGACCTAGGCAACAGCTCCACATCTTATAAGCAAACTAGGGGCAATTATCTGCAAGCCTCAGGCACAGAATTCCCATTTCCTTTTAAAAAAAAAATACCCCTTGGTTTTTAAAAACAATCAACTTGATTTATCTTTTAAAATGTGCTTCTCATTTCCATTTCCAAGCAAATATGAATCGAGTGTGTCAGACATGGAAGCTAGACAGTTGGGAGCAGACCCTAGTTCCCACTGCTCCTCTCTGTGCACACTGCCTGCCCAGAGCACTCACTCTGTCCCTCAGATCCACACAGCCAGGACCCTCTCCGCTCTCTGCTCCCTAGGGTCCACACTGGCGGGACACTTACCCACTCTCTGCTCCTCTGAGTCTGTCCCATAGTCTGAGGCCTCCCTGCGGCCCAGGGCAAAGTCCGGTTCGCTGAGGACCTGCAGCCTCTTGGACTCCCCGGAGTGGTATTTCTTCAGCTCCTGGACCAGCTCCACCAGGAGCCGCAGCAACGTCTGCCGGTCCGTGGGTCCCTGGGGCTGCAAGCGCCCCCGGCCGGG